GATAGGGAATAGACTATTGGCCAATTTGGGTCTCATTCCTAAACCTAAGGTCAAATCTTGGGCTAGGAACTGGGGCTTTGCTCCCTCCCAGCTTCTTCTGCCTCTGCAGACACTGCCACAGCAGAGATACTGAAAAGTTCTCGACTGTCTTGGCAGCAACTCTCAACGCTGGTATGTTATCAGCTTTCTTAGCACAAATCCAAAACATAGCCTCCCAATACCTACTATGAAGAAAGTTAACTCTGTCTCAGCTGAAACTAGGACAGGATGGTGTCGTTGTCCAGGTCCCGAAAGCCATCTCCCAAGAGATGTGGGGGGTTTGGCCAGTGACTGAAGGTGAGAGGCTCTTTATGGAGACACACTAGTTGGATGAGCTATCAGCCTCCCTAGGAGGAAGGTGGAATGAAGTTCAGCATATCTTCTATTGAGCAACAGCTTTTTTTTAAAAAAAAAATTTGGGAAAGAGGCTTTTCCACTTCCTTCTGTTATTTCCCCAAGGTGGCTATTTACCCAGTGAGCAGTGTTCACCTCTTTCTAATGGAAAACTTGACCCTGATCCCTGGAGACCGAGCCTGAGGGGTCTGTGAGCACTGAGGCCAAAGCCCTCTCTCTCCCTATGCAGGTCTTCCCCAAGAGTCATATTGTCAGTGCGCTCAAGATGATTTTTGAGAAGAATGTCATGAGCTTTGCTGGTGGCACCATGGGAGCAGTGAATGGCATGAGACCCGATGGGGTGCCTGACACGTCCAGCGTGCAGTCCGATGAGGTGTGGGTTGGCGTGGTCTATGCCTTGGCTGCCACCATGATCCAGGAGGTGAGTGGTGACACTGCACCCCTCAGCCTGTGCCATCTCTTTGCACTCTGTGGATGGGCTGATGGTCATCTTTCCTCTGCTACAGGGGCTGGTGGAAGAAGGTTTTCATACAGCAGAGGGCTGCTACCGGACAGTATGGGAACGGCTGGGTATGGCTTTCCAGACACCAGAGGCCTATCGGGAGAAGAAAGTCTACCGCTCGCTGGCTTACATGCGGCCCCTTAGCATCTGGAGCATGCAGCTGGCTGTGGAGCGCAGAGCTGGCCAGGCATCAGCACCTGTGCACTCAGCCCCCATCCCCATCCAGCCTTGAGGCTGGTGACACTGAGCAGGGCAGTGGGTGCACCAGGGAGCTGGGGGGGAGCCTCAGCTGGTGGATGGGGACCCTTCCCTCCCCCTTTTTGATGATACTCACATTGCTGTTTTCCTTCCCTACCTCCACTACATGCCCTTTGCCTCAGGGGGCTTCCAGCCGCGGATGCTGAGCATGAGGCTGGATCAGAGATACAGGTGATGTCCCCTCAGAGAGGAGAGGGGTGGGATAAGGAGGTGCTGGTAAAGCCTGTGCCTCCGCTTCCTCATCACTCAGGGCTCTGACAGCCTGCAGGACCCCCAGTCATCCTCCACCAGAGCTGGTACCTGGCCCAGGTGCACAGGAGACCTCTCTCCTGGAGTCAGTGGGCTGGGTAAGGTGGGAACTGGCCTGCAGGGCAAAAAAAATGTGAGAGTGTATGTGTGTGTGAGGACATTGGACTAGTGCACGCAGCACATGGCTGCTGTAGTTGTCCCTGTCTTGTGTAACGCTGCAACCACAGACTGGCTCTGTCCCAAGGCACCAGCCCCAGGAGAGCCTGTGGCAGATGCAATCCCCAGGGGAGCCCTGGCTCCCCAGCCTGTGACAATCGGAGCCCAAGCAGCAGGTCCTGGTCTGGTACCGTGGCACCCTTCCCTGCTGGTGCCGGGAGTGGGCAGCAGAGCACGTTTTAGAGGCTGAATCATTTTAAGTTCTTAATAAATTTGTCCAGTTGTCTCTTCCTTCTTCTTGTGTGTCTTCCCTGCCACAGGGTCAAGCTTGAGCAGCGAGCCCCTGTTGCTCCCCCTTTTCTTCCTGGGCTGGGAATGCAGGGGGGGCAAGCTGTAATTGCAGGCTGGCTTTTGTGTGGTTTTGATAATGGGAGCAGGATGTGCCTCCCCCCTAGATTTGATAGCAGGAGAGACCTGCCCCTTGCTCTCTCCTCTCCTGCCTGCAAGGCAGGGGAAGGCAAGGAGCCTCGCATTTTTCCTGAAAATGCCTTTGTGGGGAGCAGCAATGCCCCAGAGCTGGCCCTTGACTGAATCCTGTCTCTTCCCTCCCAAGGCTGGGCACCTTGCTTCGTTTTCCTCCTTTCTCTGACAGCGCAGCATTTGGAGGCTGTACCTACATGGTTTCAAGGGGGTAGGAGGGGGCTCTGCCCCCAGGGTTGGCTACAAGGTCTTTCTGCCCACTTCAGAGCTTTTTGCTCTAATGCTGTCCCTTAATCCTGAAGCGCCCTGAGGGCTGGGCTGGGAAGTGGCCTGTCCTTGCCCCTGTGATGGTGCCCACCCTCCCCCCAGCCCTTGCGTGCCCTCGGAGCTGGTGCAGGCAGGAGTCGCTGCGGTGGCCTGGGGCTGCCAGACAGTGATAAATGGCCTTTTCTTTGCTCCCGGGGGGAGTGTTCCTGCATCCGCCTGGGCAGCAGTATAATATTACTTGGTGAGGGCAGGTTGTCCCGGGTGCGGTCCTCCTCAACTAGCCAATGTTGTCCTCCCATGGCAGAGACCACAGCAGACAGAGAGGGACTGAGATGGTCTCACTTAGGGTCACCGCGGCAAAGCTGGAGGGGAGCAGGGGTGGCAGGACACCGGTGCAGCTCACATGGGCTGCCCACCTTGATTTGTCTTGTGTTGGCAGCCACTGGGGATGGTGTCAAGGGACAAACACAGGTACCAAAGCCAGCACAGCTCCTGACTGAGCTGGGTTTTATTGCTGCGACCCATTAGTATCACTCCTTAACCCCAGGTGATAGGCTGCCCACAGACTTTCTTTCAAAGGTTGGGGCAATTCAGCCTGTATCAAGGGATGTTTCTGCTCTTTCCTTCTCTTTTGACTGTACCACCTCAATAAAACTTGTATCTGATAGGCTCAGCTTTCAGCAACTTCTGCATGGGCACAGCCTTGGTTAGATGCGGTTTTCTCTAACATTTGCCTGTACTACAGTTTTTCAAGACTGACTCAATGCCAGCTTAAGCAGTGAGTTTAATTATTCATTAACTCTTTCTTATTATTATCCATTAACCCTTTCTTGACCCCTGACGTACATGGGTTTAAACCACAGCCCTGCCAACTTCTTCAGCACTTTCTGCTTTGGACCCTTGCCCACTCCTTGCTGTGCCCAGGGCTCAGGAGTGTCATTGCAGGATTTAGCCATGGCAATGATTGCCAGCCCTGAGCTGCTTCGCTGGCTGCCCTTTGGAGGGTGCAAACCCTGCAGAGATAACACAGCTCTTGGCTTGTTTTATTTTTGACTAAGCTGAGACGAGTCATCAAGTCCACCTCCTTGAGCCCTGAGCTGTTCCCTGCACCTGTGAGATATGCCCCTGGGCTAAGGATTGTTAAATTAAGGAAAAATAAAGGTTATGGGCAGATAGCACCAATATTGTTTGTATGATACTAAAATAAACCTGTGGCTGTAAATGAGGTGTGCGTTGCCACCAGCAGCGGTGCCAGCATGGAGACGTTTTGGTGGCCATCCCCTTGCCCACCAGTAGCTGTGGGGTCCCTGCAGGAGCTCCATGAACCAAGGTGATGGCAAAGGGAATGATGGCCAGGGGGAGATGCGGAGGGGGTGACAGTGGGGCCATGGTGAAGAGTGGGCGATGGCAAAGGGGTGATAGCCATGCTCCAGGTGATGCCTGCCTGCCAAAAAAACAGACAAAGCAAACAGCAGTTGTGTGGGAAAACTTACCTAGTTGTGCAGTTAATTTCTAAGACAGAGGAAGGCAAACACTGGGGCAGGAATTTCCCACGGGCAGCCAGCTCACTGGCTGGGGAGTTCCTGTGGGCAGGGGTGCAAGAGGGCTGTGGGACTCCTGCAGAGAGGACAGGGGGGCATTGAGGTGCCAACAGCAGAAATGCAGCACTCCCCAGCCTTGGTAGCAATGAATTTTGCTGTCAGAGAGAAACTGGGGCTCAAAAGTGAGATTAAAGGGAAAGCAAAATTTGGGAAGTATTTCTGAGATGTTTCAAAGAGTTGCCTTGTCTCCATTTTAAGAAAAGGAGCATTTTCTGGTGAATAGGGCTCCATCAGCTCTTGCTGTGAATACCAGGGGAATTAAAACATACATATTTTAGGAAACTGCCCTGAAAAGCATTGAGGAATGGGTGAGAAAATCTGGTGTGAACAGAGCCACTTCAGCCTCCCCGGCCAGAAACAAGGACAACATAAGTGGAATTACATAAATACCTAGTTATTTAAGAATCTCTGCGTAAATACAATTTCTGTCAGCATTAAAATGCAACATCCAAGATATTCAGGGAATGTTTGTCTTTCATAAACAAAATAATTTCCTTCCAACAAAAGCCAGCTTGTAAAAACAGCAGCAAAGCTTTGTGGCAGGCCTGGGCAAGGGGAGACCAGGTGCTTTGTAGCCTGCTCTGTGGCTGCTTCAGTACAGGGGCAGGGAATAAAGCAAAGCCCAGAAGGGAGCTGGGGGCTGGATGAGTGCCTGTGAGGATGCCTGGTGAAGGGGAGCAGGGTGAGGCTGTGTGCTGCCGATCCCGGGTTACACTGGGGTTAAGGCTTCTTGGCACCTCTGTGCACCCTGGGCAAGGCAGTGGCATGGCAAATGGGTGGCAGAAGGGACAGCCACCCCTGAGAGAGGTTTTCCCTGCTTGAGCATCCATCCTGGCTGTCAATGACCAGTGGGAGCCAGGGAAGTGTGAGCAGGAAGGGACAGTTTCGGGAGGCCCTTCTCGGAATATCTGCCTGAAACCACTCTCTCATACAGCTGGGAACTGCAAATTTGGAAACACCCAGATTGCACAATGCCCTGGCCGGAGCTGCCACCCACAGCCTTAGCAGCAATAAAAGGTGAGGGAGCAGGCGCATTGGCAGAGTCCTGCGAGGAGCACATCCCTGGGTACACCAGCTGTCTACCTGCTGTAGAGATGGTGCAAGCGACTCCCTTCCTCCTGGTGCTCAGCCTGGCCCTGGTGGCTCCCAGCCTCTCTTCAAGAAAGGTAACGGCAGGGGTTTTTTTTTGGGGCTTCTGCTCCTGGGGGCTCCCCCTCCTGGCGCCCTGCCCACGCCCAGGCTCCCCTGTGGCACCAACACTGAGTCCCCTCTGCTCCAGTGCGTGCTGACTGGGAAATGGATCAACGACCTGGGCTCCAACATGACCATAGGGGCTCTGAATGGAAAAGGAGACTTCTTTGGCACCTACCACACAGCTGTGACGGCCACCACGAATGAGATCCGGGTATCAGCACTGCAGGGGTCCCAGCACCTCACCAACCAGAAGAGACAGCCCACCTTTGGCTTCACCGTCAACTGGAGCTTTTCAGGTGCGTCTCCATTCCCAGACTCCCTGTGGTGTGC